TAATGAAGCTTTTATTTGTGTGTGAAATCCATTTGATGACTGATTAAAATTACTTATTATATGTAATTAAGCCCATATAAAATTATGGTTACTGTTCATTTAAATATGAAAACTCAATAACGCAATAACACCAAGTTTGGGTTTATGACTAAAAGTTGCCAACCGTGTAGTGTAATAAATGGCTTGTTCAACCAAAACAAATTGTCCAGATAACAGAAAAACTTTTGGATATCCAAACTAGACCGTGACATTTTGAAATACGAGTTATGAACTAGTTGTGCTTTTTAACTTTAATTTAACAAACAAAAGTAGTTTAATTAAATCAGATGTATTTTGAGTCATTGAAGTGAATTATTATATTTTTAACTTTTCAATAATAAGATTGTTGTTTATGTCACGTCTAATGTGGTTCCTCCAATTTTTATTTGGTACCTATTCCTTATTTGATTATTTAGTTGAAAGTCTAAATTCAAATCTCTTTTTTCAGATTATGAAGCCCCGAGCGGGGCAAGGCCTCGTTCAGGCGCTATGTGGAGAGTAGGCGTGATCCTCTTCACACAGATAGTGGTGTGTCAATTCACAACCGGTGAGCACAAATTGTTAATTCACTAACGGTCAGTTGCACAAACGTCCATTAAGGTTTAATGACGACTTTAAGCTCTAATGCATGTTCTAAATTTGAAAATATGTATAGGTAAATTAGCATTAAACTAATGATAATTTTGATAGACGTTTGTTCAACTGGCTGTATAGATGCTGAAACCTGAGGAAAATAGAAATAATACGATTCAGGTTACTAAAGCAATTTAAATATGGAACATTTTTATAATAAAAAAAAACAATAAAGAGTTTTTATACATAGAGATCATATAAAATGGCAAACTACAAAGAGGATCTACCAATTTATTCATAACACAAAATCAAATTTGGGCAAAATCTTTGAAAAAATTATAACAGACGAACTCAGCCATATCGTGTCTCGTTACATCTCGCAACAACAACACGGCTTTTTCCGAGGTCTTAGTGTTGACAGTAATCTGGTCTTGTATACAGACTATCTTCTCAACTCGCTTGATATAGGTTTCCAGGTAGATGCTGTGTATACCGACTTTTCAAAGGCTTTTGACAAATTAGTCATTTTACACTTATAAAAAGGCTTTCTGAGTTCGGTATACATGGTGACCTATTGCGATAGTTGTGTTCATATATTACCAATCGAAGCTGTGGCATTGAAGGGTTACTACACTTTTAGATTCCTGGCATTCCTCAGGGCTCGCACTTGGGCCCTTTCTTATTCACAATATATGTAAATGACGTTGGTTCCTGCTTTCACAATTCGCGTCATCTGCTTTATGCAGATTTCACTAAAATTTACAGTTATTTCTAGTTACGATGACTGCTTAAAGCTGCAAACAGATTTAAAAAACTTTGATATTTATTGTGAGAAAAGCCAACTGCTCTTGAATTCAGAAAAGTGTTACGCTATAACTTTTATTCGTAAACACAACCCAATAAAATATGATTATATCCTTTCAGGGCGTAAGATCGAGCGCGTGAATGTAATAAGAGACCTCGGGATTGTACTGGATGCCAGGTTGCACTTTAATCTACACATAGACAACATTATCTCTAGAGCGTATAAGCAACTTGGCATGATACTACGATACACGAGGCCGTTTAAGTATTTACCTATAAAATATTGTATTATTCCTTCGTTCGTTCTCTCTATTACAATGTGCATGCCTCGTTTGGAACCCCCAATATGCTATTCACATTGCCCGAATTTAAAAAATACAAAAAAAATGAATTCTTAAGATTATCGAACAGGACATTTCTTTGTTGACTATGAATCTGCATCTAAAAGGTATTATATTGATTCCTTACAAAATAGACGTGTTTATCTGAATGAAGTTTTCCTTTACAAAATAATAAACAATTATGTGGACTCATCTTCATTATTAAAATTAATAAATTTTAGAATCCCTAGAGTCTCCTCACGTTCTAAAAACATTTTTCATTGTTCACTCACTGCCACAAATTACGCTGGGAACACTTTTATAAGACGCTCCTGTAGATTTTACAATGACAATTTAAATGACGTTGACATTTTTTCGCTATCATTAAATCAATATAAACGAAATGTGGGAGATTTCATATTTAAAAATAATCAGAGTGAGTTTTTGAGATTGTTGTGGAGAAGCTGTTTGTTTGATGTGTAGGTTAAGTTTATTCGATATCATCACTATTGTTAATAGCAAGCAATTAAATTAATTTTGTTAGTACTCGTATTTAGTAATGGAACTGTCAGGTCTATTAGTTAAATAAGTTTTGTATGTATATCAATTGTAAACGACTGTTTGTTTTCCTAAACAATAAAAAAAAAAACAAAAAAAACACAACTATTGATTCCTACGGAAATTCTTAGAAGAGAAGTTAGCGTTGCAAGACGTAGCGCATAATTTACCATGTAATTGAATGACGCCAACGTATTAAAAGCATGGCTATATGCCATTAAAAATTATTTTAATCATATGCTGCTGCAAATTATCTAATATCTGAAATAAACATTTTTTACAATTTTTTTATGCACAATTATTGATATTGCCGACGATACGCTTTAAGGCGGTAGGTACGAAGTTCACGGGATCAGCTAGTTTGATCATAATTTAAAGTTTGTTACTAGTTGATGACTAAAGGTGAACGCCCACTTTATATTCACAGAATTTTAATAGAATTTATATAGTCTTCCGTCCACTATGCGTACTTGCTGCACCGACCGCACGCATCAAATGAGCAAAGAATGCAATGCGTACCGATAACATCATATCATTACTTCGCAGCGTTAGTGTCAGCGCGTGCTGTGGTTTTTTAAGTTCATTTTTTTTCCACAAAAATTATGAAGGTACCTCTTCTATGTCCGCTTACTACGGAAAATAATATGTGGAATTATGATATCAGCAAATCCGTCGGATTGTACGGATTTGTCGTGTATCTGCGCGTACACAGTGGAAGTTCACCTTATAGTGACGTGCGAAGAAGTGTGAGATAATGATAGTAGTACTTAATGTGAATTTCCTTCACCTGTGTTCCAAACTTCATGTATAAAGACGTACGTGTCATCGTAACCTAAAGTAATTTACTAGCGCTACTCGGATACTCTAGTGGTAATAAGATTTGTTGCAAACATCTTATTTTATAGCTAAGGGACATCTTATTTTACCTACTCTTTAGACCGTTTGACTATTTTACTTAGAAATTGCTGATGGTTAATTTAATGTAAGTCTTTATTATTATATTGCATAAATTTTAAAAGCTAACTGGAAATCTTAAACTATGTTATCTACGTAATATAAAATTAAACCTATCGTTGACTAACAACGGGTCAGCTATACTATTTAAATAGCCTCGAACTCGTCCTTGAGCGCAGCGCTGTCGTTAATCAGGTCATATAATTTAATCTAAATAAATAATACATGGAAATGATCCAAAATAACATTTCTATGAAATACATTAATTAATAGATATGATAAATACAATATCAAAGTAATAACATCACGCTAGTAAGTGATCACTGAGATTAAGCCTGACTGAGATTAGGGAAGTTCCATGAGTAAAACGAATTGAAAATACTAAAATGGCTACCATGAAGCTTACAACTCCGCTGCAAATCTAATCGTATTAAAGTTTATAGAATAGCAATCTACTAGAGAATCCACTGTAATTCTACCTTAACTATCAATAAGATTTTCTATTAATTGCGAACACTTACACGCTAACGACATCGCAGTGCCAAGTAGAACTAAAGCTCTTAATGCATTTTACACAAAGGCATTCCAGGACAGCAAATGAAAAGAGAAAACCGCAATTCCTTTATTTCGGTTTGTTACTTGTCTTAATAGGTAGAAGAGATAAGCGCTGCGAATCTAAGGATAACATTTTTTATCGAACCGTTCTCATTCGTGATGTAAATGAAATCATTGGTAGATTCTTATTTTTAAAGTATATAAAACAATTTTGAGTGCATCTTTATTGTGGTGTGCGCACAATATTTCAAAGACATATATATTTTTTTGTTTCAAAGATTAGATAATAACAGATATAAAAAATAGAATAGATGCAATCATTATTGCATTTCTATTTCAGATAAAGAGTTTTTAATATCACTAACAGCCAGTTGTACAAACGTCCGTTATAACGTTTCATTAGTTTAAAGCTACATCACCCACCTACAAATATGACATTAAATAGAGCTTAATGGACGTTCGTGCAACTGACCGTAATTCAGCAAAAGATGAGTTTGTGTGACTGCAAAGGAAGGGTTATGTTTTTGTTGATTGTAATATAGATTGTGTTATATGAAAGAAAATCATTTCAATTTCCTGAACATGACTTTAAAATAGTTGTAGTTTGTGTCACATCAGTTCGCATTGCGTCCCCAAACGGGGTTAAGATTCGACCTTCTCAGACAACGATATACATAAATTTCACTCCAATTACATTAGCAGAGCTCGTACTGTCACAGAATATATATTATAATATTAGAACATAGAGCAATCATACTCGGATAACAAACGATCCAGTTTAAACCAAATTATCTTTGCTATTCTAATCCACTGTTCTTAGTTATATTCTTAGTTAATTGCAAAGGCTTAAAACCACACCACAAGAATTCACTGAGTCCGAGAAAATATACTAATTTTTTTTTGATGTGGTTTATTTGCTGTATGTGCTTATTGTAACTACATATGTGCTGATTTCGCCGAAACAAATAGGATGCTAAGCTGCAGGACGTGAAATAAAAACATAGACTTTTTATTTCACGTCCTGCAGCTTAGCTAAAAGTTTTATACTTTTGGAGAACAAATCTCTATTTCCTCTGTTAATTCAATAATGGATTATCATACACATTAAAAAGATTAAAGTTTGACTGTAGTAATTATAAATGTCATCAACATAGTAAAAGGGTACCTTTAAAATCCTTTGATCCCAATCCCACGACCATGGATTTGGAAGGTTTATCAAACAAACAGTGGCATATACAGAGGCTTAAATCAGATAGTTAATTCTAGTTGATGAGAATCCAGTAACGATTGTGACTCTCACGAGAAATGACGATTGCCTGTATTATATAACGGAGTTTTTAAACTTCCAATGTTCAGCAAATTTTGTATTCATAGCGTCACTTTAAATGTACCACTCGAGGACTGGATGATACAGTTAAAGATTAAATATTAATTTTAATGATAAATAATGAAACATCGGGAACCGACGAAAACAGTTCATTTTCAGTTAAATAATATTGGTTTCGTAATAATCTTATTATTGGAAAATGCAAAACTCTGATAATATTGTGATTCGAATTTTTTAGAGATATAATATAGTTACCGTCCTAACTTACAATTTAATACTTCTTACTATAAGTACAATCATATAATGCATCGCATGAGGTGATTCTTCCTTGAATAGGATTAGAACTAACTGGTACATTTTATAATTAGTTAGAAACTGAAGCAACAATATTAAACTAGACGTGAGTTACTGCGCCACAATTAAAATCCAACAAGAACAAGCTTTTAATACATATTGCTACGACTAAATTAAATGAATCTAGAGAATAATACTATATGACTATTATGTCGTGACCATATGGCTCCCTCTTTTTTAATTAATTACTTCCAGTATAGTCCAGTGTATACAGTTAATGTTCCTCTTTTTGGAATTGTAAACTTTCAATTATATTTGGGATTGTTTTCTTCCAGAAAATCCTTCTTCATCAGCGACGGAAGAAGACCAAACCGTGACGTCTTTCTTCGCCCTCAGCACGGGCATAGCTCCAGCACCAGTGTTACTAAGACTAGGAAACTCGACTATAGATAGCACGAAATCATTCAAAGTACCACAACCTTCACAAGAACCGGCTCAGGGGACTTTAACTATACAACCTAATAAAGCACGTGCAGATATGGTCCCACATGTTGTTTCTGTGAAGAATACATACTTCGATCATGACAGAAAATATGGGCCAACATTTGAAGACACTCCTGAGGGAAATATGACTAAGATCACAGTGCAGCTTGGTGAAGATGCACATTTGAATTGTAGGATCAGCCTTTTACTGGATAAAACTGTGAGTAAACAATAATGATAATTGGAAATCATGACAATACACTCCAGTAAATAACTATTGGATTACTCTAATATTAATGAGTTAGAAGGTTTAAAACAACAAATAGGTATTTGAAATTGGCATTCATTTAATCATGCAGTCTCATTGCTTGATGTAATATAATGACAGAAGATTTACTGTTGCTTAATCATGAGCTTTCTTCAAACTTTGAGGTTTCATGATAAAATGTACTGAAATTTCGTAAAAAGATGTTTTAAATAGAAAATAATGTTTATTGAACAGACTCACAGTTACACACAAAGTAAAAACTATCCCTAAAAAAAACATAAAAACGTAACGACATTCATAAAAATCATGTCATTTCCACATCAATACTTATAATTAAAAAGTATGTAACAAACAACATTATGAAGTTAATTTTTATTAGAATATTAAACAGAAAATAATAAAAATACTATGATCATACAATGACGACATAATAAGAAACATCCATTACCTTTATTTTGAGTTAAATTTGACCTTTGTAACCCCGTTCTAATATTGACTTCTTATACTACGATACAGTGTAGATGAAAATCCATTTCGTACAGGGCCATTTATCATAAATTAAAATCGAATAATAAATCAACGTATATGTGAAAACCGTGACACGTGTTGGCTTAATAATGATTGAGTGTCGACACAAAAATAATACCTATGAAAAACCAGCGGAGTCATCCAGTTGAGTGACAAATCGGTAGCGATCTTTATTTCACTTGAGTTCGTATCCCCATAAAGTTTCCTAACTATTTGTCATAAGGAACTAGGATATTGATAATATAAAGAGAGGATGATAAATTATCGTTAACTGTATACTTTTTATTGGAGCTCCCAGAATATTTTTGAGCAACATTTTCTGTATCAAATTTCTAAAATTATTTGAAAGTGCAAACATTGGAATACTCTAGTTCAAATATTGGACAAGATCTTGTCAATTATTTGAATCAACAGTCCTATGCCGAAAGGCCTCGAGATATAGTATTGAAATTACAGATTTCTTTTTCGTAAAAAATACCGAATACTATTAAGTATTGAGCGAAGAGTGTCTTCGAAATTTTAAAACGCAAAGTTATTTTGAACTCGTGCTCAATAAAGAAAATTACTTCTAGTATAATTTTGGCTTTCAAATATACTTGACGTTAGAGCTGCCTATCGATATTCATATCAGACCCACTGTTGGAAAAGGCTCCCTTCAAATATCACAACGGCGAACACGGCGTGGGACCGCGTGGTCCTCTTTTACTCTTTGGTTCATCTACAAATCTCTTTATTTCTGATTCGATTTCGCATAGCCCTCTCAATTGCCTTCTAAGTAATGTTGAGTCTCAGTCTCAGACCATGTCTCAGTGCTATACATCATCACTGGCAACACACATTGCTCGATATGTGACTACCACCAAAATACTTCTGACGCTGATGTCATATAAATAATATCGATATTAAAATAAAAACAGAAGCTCCCAGTATCTCCGATTATTCATTTTCCTTTTAATACCATCATTTACATTGATATTCTGTGCAATGTCTAAGGGAGCTACAAAATGATTCAGTTATCCCTCTCAAAAGTCAGACTCGTCGAGTTAAGACGGCTAAGTTGTACTTTAAATACTTACACCTCAATTATTAAAGCAATCAGGCTAAGAGTGGCTTAAATTTTGTTAATAGCGTTAAAAGCTTCAATTGTTTGAGTTCCCGTCATACAATTATGTCTATACAATCGACATTAATTGTTGATATTACTTTAATGGATTTGGGAAGTTTGGATTGTGTGTTGAGGACATGTCTTGTTGAAATGAAGAATATTCGAATTTTCTGGGATAAGTATTTGTGGCATTATGGTTAAAGTATATGACCTGTTTATTTACAACTATTACTATAACAATTAAAACGTCATGTCAACTTTGCCTCGAGTAGTATATTTTTAACTCATCAGAAATCCACAAGGCAATTTTGTAAACAGTCATCTTGCGTTCATGTACGCTGGGTTACAGAATTTTTATAAGAGGAATAAGTTATAAATGTAATAATCCTAATTTATATAATAAATAATATTATTATTATCAATATGATCACGATTACATAATAAATATTACCTCTAGAAAACTTTGCTCCGATTAGATGAAGATGAGTAGCTAAAAGACTCTCTGTTTACGTTGTATTAATAGAGTATCTGAAACAAGAAAGATACCACAAGACAGGGACAGACCCGAAACAACATAGAGTAGTTTATTTACTAAACTGACCGGTAATCGAACAGAAATGGCGACATCATGAAACCTGTGTGAGAGCCATTCTGCTACGGAGGTGGAATAAGACATTGAATGCAAAATGTTATTTAAAAATGAAATGGTAAATGGAACTTAATATTTTGATTATTATTATCAAAATTATGTCATTCCATCGAAATGATATATATAACAAAACATCGATTTATTTAATAGTCTGCAAACCCTTTGGAGATAATCATCCAGCCGATTACTCTGTTAAGTGTAATTACTCGAAATATTAAAGTGTGGCGAAATTATCCGCTCCTTATTCAACATTTGAGATCAAAAGACAAATCTGCTATCGTAATTAGATTCTTTATTTGAAACTTTAGATTTCAAGACCAAAACATAATTAAGGTTTTTTCTTATATTAACGCTCTTTTGCAAACCGAAATCGCTAACGTCGAAGTTTAGTAAAATTGTCCGTTTGTTAATATTAAAGTTAAATCAATAGTGAATGATAAATAACCAAATGTCTTAGTAATAATTATATCTCCAAATATGCTAATGGCACTGAAAGCTTCTATTGTCAGAGATTCCGTTCCGTTAATTATGCCATTTGCTTTAGTAATTACCGGCAGATTTCGTTTAATCAGCGGAACTCGTCAGCTATTTATAATAAGCATCAATTCCTTACACTCTATTGAGTAAGGCGTTTGATGGTTTCGTATTGATTTGTAAGATTTAAGATTGTGTGTTTACCTATCTATACAGTAAATATTTGTTAGCGCAAGTACTCTTCATCTGTTATGTATGATATAACTGATGACAACATTAGGTGTTCTTCCGTTAGACTTAATTAAATTCATGTTCCGTTGATAGTTCCGAGAATCATATTCGAAGCACGAATGTGTTTGATCATAATTTGTTCGAATTAGCATTCGAATTGGGTACACTGTCAGAACAATTACGCCCTGATATTTACTACACGTGTTTATGTAGCAGCAGTTTGAAACATAATATACAACGTGTTCCTTGTTAAATTCCATAACTGCAGGGCAATAATGGGACCATGTAATATTACCGAATATTTGTTAATAATTTTTCATACACATTTGGAGATCAAACGAACTTGCCAAGTGAAGTTCGATCATAATTATGTAAGCAGCTTCATTCGAAGCGATTTAGGTTCAACAAGGTGTAGTAGCGCCATGTACTGTAAGCCTCGCATGAGGAGTTAAAAGTTTTTTATTTATTTTTAACAATATCTTTGTCAAAACTACTGGCAACACTACCCCTCCATATTCTTAGAGTGACGCTCAGACTTTCATGTTCGTCATTTTGTTTATTATTTATTTTATAATCAGTTATTGGGTAGGGTTGAGGGGAAATGTTTATAGAATATAAGTTTTGCTAGAAGATGCGACTGAGTTGAACTTGAGTCACGATTCTTTTGTTTCTTGAATAGTTTTTAAAACTTACAACTTCTCGATTAAATCTTTCCCGAATAAAAATTTATCACGGTCAGTTGTTGCCAGTGTTTCACGCAGACTTGTATCGATGGAACTCATGATTATTCTACTTCGTGTTTTGGTTTCAATATTGTGGCTATCGCATAGTATACGTATCACAGAGAGGTTGAAGAAATGCTTGCTTAGAAGTATATTTTTACCCAGCGATAAGTTTGGTTGTGGAGCTTCACTCAGGATTTGCAAAATTTCGTCCTCTAACTCCACCTCCTCTTCCTGGTTTGAAGACTTTTTTGGATCTTTTTCGTGGTTGGTAGAGGATCCAGGTTGGGTTCAATGGGTTAATATGACAGTGATCAATGTGTAAGAAAATCCAGAATGGGCATATTTAAATCTACCTCACCGTTATCTCCAGGTGTTGCTTGTCGCGAAGCCGCTGGTGAACATAGTGGTGTTATTTTTTTTCTCGATTGAACCAGCAGGGAGATTCTGTAAAAATCCGAATCCGATTTCGAATTCATTCATGTGTCCGAGTATACGTCATTTAGTGAAGAAATTCCATTGAGTCCATTTCTTGTATAAAAGTACAAAACGAAATTGATTGATTATATGTGTCTCATATATTCTATTCTAATATCATTTAGAAACTCACTTCACTTATGCGACGAAACGTTATCACTAATAATAATATATAATTTAAGATTGAGCGGATGTCCCTTTTTGAAGTGAATATGAATTGTGTGAATTCGAATTCTGGTTTGGATTTTTACAAAATCACCAGTATTTCTGTAATAGAACATAATATTTTGGTAGTTAATTTTAATGGTTTTCTGTAGAGAATATTCTATTAAAGTAGTTAGTGATAGTAAATTTGATAAAAAAACTACATTCACAAATAAACACATTAATAGGTTTCCTGGTAAAGATAACATGTTGAAATGGTAATAGTGGTTGAATGATTTTCGTCAAGGTGATTTGATAATAAAATTTTAAGATAAATAAGAGGAAACGGAAAATGCAACGCATGCAATAACGCATTTTATTATGATATAACCTTCTGTCTGGTAAATATTAACATTTTATTTAAGAAAACTAAATAAATAGACTTAATGTTTGTCAACCTACATGTGACTACTAATTTGTTTACAAAAAAAATGCAGACGAAATCTTTTGCCCTATTCATTACATGCATAGGTCAAAAGACTATGCAAAACCTCCTTAGCTGTTTAAATATATTCTTTTATAGTTATCGTTAGCAGATCTTGCATTTACGTATACTTTTCTTCGCTAACTCAAACTTCGCTACTTCAAATGCAATTTAAATCTAGATAACGGATTTTTCTTGTATAAATTACTTATCATCTAGATCTTTTATGACTTACTGGCAGAAGTTGCACAATCTGCAGTTAAATTAGAGTTTCTTGGTTAACTCGGAAGGGAAAATGTAACGGAAAGCGAACTCGTACAAGACAGAGAGAACTTACTCAAGATTAATGATGGAAATTAATAGAGCCACAACGTTTGATTGAATTTGGCTTACGGAACCGATGACGTCATGAGGATATTAAGCTTGCCAGTGTACATACTCGTATTATTATATAATACTCAAGCGGCAACTGTTCTTTATGAGATAGCAATATTTTAATAATGAAAGTTGCTTAGAAAATTACCGTTAAGAGACTTTACTGTAAGCTGATCAGCATAATGAAGTAGGGACAATATACATAATATAATAACTTTTCGATCATGGACTAAATGGCTTATCAATGCGTTGCATAATTTTTTAAGTCATGTAAATGTTTGATAATCAGATATTTGATGATGGTAATATCGGAATCTCAAAGTAATTTATGATATTTACTAGCTCTTTGCTAGCGGCCGCGTGATTTCCATGATGACTTGGTAGTGCTTTTATATCTTATCATTTAATAGGATAAAAAGTAGCTAATGTGTTAATCCAGGCTTCAAATTATCCATATATATACCAAATACGATCAAAATCCAAATAGTAGTTTTTGTGTGAAGCAGAAACAAACATCGAAAAAACACCTTTTAATTACCTATAATTATCTTTTTGATATTATAAGCTAGATGTTTTTTGAAGCTGTAGCTGAAAATGTTTTCATGATCGGATAATTATTTCCAAAGATTATCGCTTAAATCAAACAAAGTTAGAAACTTTCCCTCTTTATAACATTAGTATAGACAAGATAAAAGTAAGAGTTTGCGAATTCCTAACTCTTGATATAAGTATAAAACGGTACACGGGATTTTGTAAAGTTATTAAAGCCTGTTGGGTATTTTGTCAGTAAGTTATCTTTACTCGTTGAAGAAAAATTCCAAATTTTTAACCTATTCCTCTTTTATCAGGTATCATGGGTCCGGCGAAGAGGTAGGGACGAGATGCCAGAACTGCTCACTGTTGGTGCTGTGACGTACGCCGCTGACAATCGGGTATCGGTAGCCCGGAGATATCCTGGCAACTGGAGATTGCTCATCAGGGAAGTAAAGCCGGACGATGAAGGAGTCTATGAATGTCAGATATCGACACATCCGCCGAGAGTAAGCAGGACTTTTCTGCATGTTAACAGTGAGTTTTATCTTTTATATTGTTATTGTCATTTTTTCTGAGTTCACAGGTATTTATAGGGCACTCGTATACTCATCATCTTACAGTACACATAGGATAGACGAACCAGTAATATAAATAAAAAAAAATTAAATATGGAACTTGTTACTGCGGGTAACGAGTTTTGGAGATGTAGGTAGAGTAGTATATTAATGTGTATGGATTTTATATCCACTAGCTCCTCAAGTTTGGGTGGTAGACGAAGCCGGCGCTCCACTTCTGGAGAAGTACTATGAGGCAGAGTCGACCCTCGCGCTGGTCTGCAGAGCCCGTCACGTGGACACACCAGCAGTGTTGACGTGGCTCCACGAGGGTCGTGCATTGAATGCTGATACTACTAGGGGCGGCATAAGGTAATACAATTGCTTACTTTAAAATAACTAACAAAATATTTGATATATGCCGAGTTCTTGAGTATATATTTTATAAACAAAATGGTGTATAGTTGAAAGAGGAAGTGATATGAGATTTTAATGTACTTATTTGTTCGGCCAAAGGAGATATTTCAATTTACAATAATGTGCTTATTGCTGTAAATTAGTAAATAATTTCAAAACAATCACAAAAAAAAAAACAAGTATCAAAATATTTCTGATAAATCTTAAAAATAGACCAGACAGACGAAAGTCTCCGATCATGAAATTTTCTACAGAAATTGAACTTTTTGTATTTTATTAGTTATAACATCCCCAAGGTCCTAACCAACCGTTAACTTTTTAGTTAAGCTAGTTTGTAGTGTGTTTAAATGAAGAAGAAGATATTTGTATTATAACTTGGGTAACTTCCCGCTTTTATCAATATTACCTTAATTCTTATGAGGAATGATTTTAAATTTAATATTCCGTTCAAACGAAATATATTATCTAAATGACGTCAAATGCCTTTGAATTTCAGATTTGCTGCGACTATCTCAAACGGAATCTTGAACTTTTTATTTCATTAAAGTTATGAATACCATTATTTATCATCAACTTTTAAACGTTGGAGTTTTTGAATAATTCCGAAATGTGGTAACGACAAAATAAGTTGGAATCCCTTGGTGTTATATCGATTTTCAGATACAACAATTCACGATTACATTACACACTTGATCTTTGTTGACAGAAAGGGAATTGCTTATAAATAAACAATGAGTACGCTTCGTCTCACCACCCACACAAGCACTTATTTCGGAAAGTTTTAAAAGCCTATGAGACACCTGTGAAAATTTAAAGAGCCTACAAAGTGAAACCGTAACAGTTAATAGATGGTAGGTTTTAATTGGAATGGTTCATACCATTACACGTGATTACGTGATGGACGATGAAACATTAGTTGAGTAATCTCATTCTCTCATCTCAAAGATGTAAAATCTCGGAGTTTCTTTTCATATATCTGTATTTTTATAAACATTAAATGAAAAAGTCTTAAATCCGGCAATCCGGGCGATTGCGGAAGGTTGGAGTTCCATCTCGGAGTACCAGGAACAAAGTGGATTTTTTAAGCATTTAAAAATATTTTTCCGGTATTGCATTGTGAATACAAAATTAATCAAATATAGTAATGAATTGAAAAACTTAGAAAATATCCGAATGTTTACCTTTCCAAATAAAACATATAAGAAAATATAAAAAAAGTACCTGCGATAACAGCGACATAAAAATATTCAGGTTATAAAGGCAAAGGTCTGGATTTATCTTTTTTTTTCTTTTTAAAACTACCTATTAGTGATTTCCGTTCAGGTTCTTCTATATAATTGATGAATTTTGAATTTCAGAAAGCTATACCGATAGATTATTATTAAGGGAAAATGCTTAAAAAATATTGTATTAACATTGCTGTTCCTATGTTGCTGTATTAAAATAGCTGTAGGTCCACAATAGGCGCGGCTTTAAAGTCGTAATTTACATCATCAATAACCGCGTTGGTGTAATGGCGGTTGTCATCTAAAATTGAGTGGCAGCCAAGACTCTCAACCACCTGGTGTAAAGTATAAATGAAAGTGGGTTCTAAATAAAATATGACAGTAACTAACTATGTTTTAAAAATAAATATTACTTGGGAAGTTTGGGAAATGTGCGTTCATATTTAAACTGCAACGTCATAATTTATGTTAGTATAGATAAATATCAAAAAGTTAGACTATTTTGGGTGCTCGAGATGATTTTTTTTTTGTATTTTCTACATATATAAATAAAGCACGGTAAATGGTAAGTTTAACAAATATAATATGTAATAGTACCGTTATATTTTCTAAGCAATAAGGATTGTTGAATAAAGAGATTGGGTCATGCAATGTAGATTGGTATAGTCAACACCTTATTATTTAGTAGCGCAATACGATGCAACTCTAAATAATACAAATTAGGTAACCTATCCATTTACCGGCCCCTGTGATGGCCCTTAATTTCCGCATCACTACGCCATCGAGCTCCACAAAAATTACCACTCTAAAATACGTTTCTATTTCTAACTTGGGCCAGTCAGTGCTTTTCATACTGTAGACTTATCTACTTAGAGCGGCTGCTGGAAGTAAAACAATATGAAGCTTTCTGGGTTTCTAGGGCGTAGTTAAACGTTCGACGTGTTAGCTCTCCCTCGTTATCTGTTGAAAGTAACTTCATAGAAAAGTTTGTCGAAGTTTATCAATGATGAGTAAATTCGGTAAGCGTTATGAACTTTTACTGAATGCATTAATGTGTGCTAGATTTTATTTTAAAAAGTAATTGATATTCCTCCTATGTTTTTATAACGACATACGTGAATCAAAAACTTTTCATCCGTTTTTGCGAAAATTGCGCAGATGGAGGAGTATAAATTTCGTTATCGTTTATACGGTGTGAAGTAAGGCAGAGTGCTATTTAATTTAATCATGATACATAAAAAAGACATTAAATTAATAAAGTAAATATAACACACAATACCGATAAAAATGTTATACACACTATCCATAAAAACACTAGGCATACTGCCCATATAACGTTACACATACTGCCCATATAAATGTAGCACATCCTGCCCATAAAAAAGTACACACACTGCCCATAAACATATTACACACGCTACTCAAAAACTTTACCCATTATATAATTACGGACACTATCACGCGTTTGATACTTTTGTTTACTGAAAATCAAACAATCTTGAAAAACTGTCTTTAATAATGGGCTATGAACAAGATAACTCATCTAGAAAAAGTCAGAAATAATAAATCAAGTTAATGAGCTTTTCATGTTGATCTTACAAATAAATATATATCTAACTAAATAAATGAAACTGAATTACCAAATAATGAAAAATTTAAAGCGTACAACGTTATACACTTTGTTCTTTCACACCGTGAAAGTATATCCACTTTGACAATTTTTCCCGTAGTGTAAAGTGTATTGTCCCTTTTCTCTATTGCTTTAAGGTTCGTATTAGCTAAGAAAAATCTAGAGGTAAATGAGTTTATCATTTATTCAATAGACTTTTACGTTGATTCGAAAGTGAAAGAAAATCTTAAAAGCGTCGACTGCTTCATTCGAGGTTCTATATTCAACCATTTGTATATATAGGGAGGTGGGTAACTGGGAATACAATAGTCTTCGTGATAATTAAAAAAATAAAAATGATAAATTAAATAAAACTATTACCAAAATCGAATTACAACTAAAAACTAAGAAAGGGTAAACAAAATTGTCGACCAAATTTATCGTTCTGTACAGTATTTGTAATCCCAGAGGCCCTAATAGGTTGTTTTTATTTTCTTTCTTTCAGTGAGCAATTAATTATTTTGACAAATTACATATTTTTAGAATGTACTCATTAGGACCTTGAATTTGATGCCCTTACAGCTATGGTTACTTTTTTTATATTTAAAAAAATATATGTTTTTTTTAAATATTCTTGTAAAGCCCTGTCGAATAAACAAACACACCTATACACTCTTTCTATGGACAGTCGTGTTATTAAAGCTGTACCCGCGACTTCGTCCGCGTGGAAAAGTGACTTTTGGCAGCATCTTTAATTTGTAGGATTGCGTACTCAATGAGTAAAACTACAACCATATTGGCAGACTGTCTGTCTGTCACCAGGCTCTATCACACAAACCATGAAAATAAGAGATTTTAATATTTCATAGAATAATGTATTTAACTATTCAACAGATAACGGACATATTTAATAAATGTTTATGAAAAATAATAGTGATTTAAATTTATAATTTTCATGACATTATAAATTAATTACTCTTTGTATAAAATTTTATATACTGCGTGCCAAAAATTGGTGAAATATTGGTGCAGAATTAATTATTTTGTATAGATGATGTACTTTTGTTGCCGTTTCAACAACAATAAGTATATAAGGTGTCCCATACAACAAACGTGATTTTTTGCCGTTGCCACCATACGGCTGTATTTCACGAACCGTGATGATTAGACAGTTGAGATTATCACAGGTGATGTACTTCTGTTGCCGACATACTAAAAGAACAGAATAAAATAAATATTTAAGAGGTCTCACGTACAACAAACGTGATTTTTTGTTCGTTTTCGCTACGGAACCCTTCGTGCACGAGTTAACTAGCACTTAGCCAGTTTTTTTAGGCTAATTATTTTACAAATAAAACACATTTATTCATCAAAAAGCTTTTTACGGTATTTCACGTTATTTGAGCATAAAAAATAAATTAATGTTCAATACTGTAGTAGACCCAAATAATCAAAATCTCTGTAGTTTTTACAATTATTTGACTTATGAACGTGAACAAAGAAAAATATTAAAATTAGTTTGGAAAGCGAAAAAACCTATATATTTATTTTTTTAACATAACGCAAAGATTATGGAAATATATGTACTCTAATCGACTACTTAATCAAAGAAAACAATGTACCTCATATTCTACATTTAAGCAACATGCAATAACTTGACTTTTATATGTCATTCAATTAAAAATTCCAAATAATAGCTTTTATTTGAAAACTCATTTACTGAATAAAAGCATTTATCAACTAACCATGTTTTCAAACGTGATTTATATAATTTTTGTGGCAACAATTATAGTTCATTATTATTAAATATCTTTATAGATATCATAATATGAGTATCTCTTAAGATAGTAGGTTCTAATAAATGGCCAATGTTATTTATTAGGAAATCTTTTGTTTAAATTACAAGTTCTTTCCTCCAGTTCTCAGTAAAACAAACAAACACATCAGTTTTAAAAACACAGTAGCGTCATCTAGAGAATACAGATAGTTGTAGCATTTTATTATTTTGCCAGATTAACAATTCCCCATTAAATTATGTTATTAGAAATACAGCAAAATATAAAACGAAAGTTACTTTGTTTAATAAAAATCGTAAACAATAAAGTCTACGAACATAATAA